CAATTCCTTCTCTAGTTCCAGTAGCTTCTCCTCGTTCTCAGTGTTCGTGCGTTATAGATTGCCAGGGCCAAGTTCGTTTGACGAGGGATCTTTACCGCCCGGGGATTCTTCGCACCCCTGGTGCCTTCACCCAGTCGACGTCCGTCCGCGCCGGCACGGCTTACGGCACCGCCGGGCACTCGGGGCCTTTCAATTTAGTCTATTTCCATGTCTCTGAGGGGTTTTGGGCCGTTTCCCACCACGCTGGCCCAGTGCGGGTTGGTGGGGAGCGCCAGAGCCTCGTTGGTTAGTCGGCAGAGTGTACCGCGTGCAGGTGAGGTTGGCTTGGGATCCATTAGATGTTGTTCGGATCCCCTAAATAGCATTAACTGTATTAAAATTAGACTGACTTTTATGACCCTTTGTGCAGCATTTTTAAAGAATGGAGAAAATTGAGCAACGTGCGGTCATCAAATACTTGTTTAAAAAAAAACTTACTCCAAAAGAGATTCACGAAGATATGTCCACAACATTGAGGGAATCTACTCCATCGTATACGACTGTGAAAAAGTGGGTTGCTGAATTTATGAAATTAAACGCGGACGAGAGAGTATTAAAGATGACCCTCCCTCTGGCCGGCCTATGACGTCTACGACTGAAGAAAAATTCTCTGATCTGATATTGACAGTTCGGAAAGTGACCATCATAGTCAATGAACCTGAATTTTCTAAGGTTTCTGCGCACCCACCGCCCAGATTGTTTTCAGTCGAACAAAAACGAATACGCCTCACCATTCCTCGCGACTGTTTGGAAATGTTTGAGACTGATCCACAAGATTTTTTATCCGGATTTGTAACAATGGATGAAACTTGGGTACACCACTTCATGCCAGAAACAAAACAGCAATCCAAGCTGTGGAAAAAACATGATTAACCGACTCCAAAAAAAGCCAAAACAATTTTGTCAGCTGGCAATGTGATGGCGTCAGTTTTTTGGGATGCTAAGGGTGTCATCATGGTGGACTACCTTGCAAAAGATGAAACTATATACTCGGCTTATTACTGCACTCTCCTACGTCGCTTGCGCGAATCAATCAAAGAGAAAAGGCCAGGATTACTCAGCAAGAAAGTGAGTAATCCTGGCCTTTTCTCTTTGATTGATTGTGCCATCAGGATAATGCACGCGTTCACACGTCTGTTGAATCTATGGCTCAAATTCGTGATTGAATTACTGCCCTATCCCGCCTATTCCCTTGATTTGGCACCTTCAGACTTTCATTTATTCCCAAAAAAAACACCTTGGAGGTCAAAAATTTTCATCAAATGAGGAGGTCGAAGCTGCGATGGCTGACTTTTTTGAAGGCCTTGAAGAAACTTTTTTTATGAACGGCATACAGGCGTTGGAAACCAGATAAAAGAAGTGCATAGAGTTAAGTGGAGATTACGTGGAAAAATAAAATTACTTTTGCTTATATTTTATATTGTTTTCTTGCTGAGGCCGCGAACTTTTTCATCCGCCTCGTAACATATAACACAGAAAATAATAATACATAATATTAAATACCATTTATTAAAATAGCATTCTTAAGAATATTAACGTTAACATAATTTCACAATTTTAAAGATAAGTAATACAAATTTTTAAAACAAAAATTAACAAAAGGGAAACTAATAAAGCAATTGAAATAAATATCTTTAAATTTAAATTATTCGTAACATTATTAAAAATGCCTATATAAGAAGTAGCGTAGGTTTCGATATTTTTCTATAATGACATAATAATAAAACAAAATACAATAGAAAATATTAAAAGTATAAAAAGTATACGAAAACTAAATAAAAAGGTTCTACTATCGTCGTCGTAAGCAACAATATCAATCTGTATAAAAAAATTAAAAGCAATTTTCGACTAAATAATACGATACATAGTTACAAAATAAAATCAGGCTTAAACTCAGTTTATTTATTTTTTGATTCTAATACTTAATCATAATTTTTACTTTGAATAGGTAATCAAAATAAGAAATAAAATTAATCTGTCATTAAACAATTCGGAACTCAAGCATTAATCAAAATCTTTCATATCATTCAATTTAGTATTATAAAATTAAAAAAATATGTATTATTCAGAATCACTTGTAGTACTTTGGGACTCAACTTGACTAGGTGTGTTACCACGCCGAAGGCTTTAAAGAAAGTTATGATATCGCTCTGGAATAATTCTTGTTTGGCATAAGTAATTTAAGTCTTCGTATTTGTCATTTTGTATAGAGAGAACCGGTATATGTTTGATTTAAATCAAATTCTCTGACAAGACGTTGAGTATTCAAGGTTGCTCTTAGAACGACAATAGTTTGTGAATTTTCTTCATCGAGATCATAAAGAACATCTAGCCTATCACAATAGTTAGCAGTTACTTGCACCTCTCGAACTGCAATCCACCTGATCTTTTCAGTGGTAACAAATTTTATCCATTTTTTACTTGTTAATTGTAATAGTGCCTTAAAATAAAAATAAAAACTCTGAATTTCCTTTTCTTTTGCCTTGTATGATTCGCCTGACGATTTGGCCCAATGTACTAAACAATACTATTCATCGGATACGCAAATTTACTTTCATTCACTAGCCCTCTCTATCACAGAATGTACTCCTTCATTCTATGTGTGCCCTTTGTTTAAATACCTGTAAATGATCGTAACTCCCAATTCTTTAGCTGCTAGAAAGTAGAGAATAAAGACAATCCAGTTCCGATTTTGACCAGAATAATTATCTGTCCAAAAGTAAAACTCGGTTATGCCCTTTTCTCTATGTTCTTTGATCAAATTGTAGAGACAACTGACAACCTCATTTGTTCCCCTTTTTGCTATATCTTTATTCCACATGTAACCTGCTACTTCTTTGGTGCCTGTATTATAAACAGTGAAATTATACGTTAGTTTAATTTCCTTTTATAATAGTGGATTCCTCTTTATCATTGTTTTTAAGATTTCAAACAATCTTCTTGCGATTTTGGTGTAACATGAACTCTGGTTTTTCTTGTTCACTTGTTAATTCATTATTCTGAAATGCGTGACAAAGTAAGCAAACTTTCTTAAATCTGTGAAAGGCTTAATTGAATTTTGAATGAACTACAGTCTTTAAGTTTCAGCTTTAGCACTGTAAACATTGTAATCAAACCATTCAATTTAGTTTTTAATGATTATATTGGCCCCGTCTATATCAACAGATGTTGATCCATCCTATTTCTCCCATGCTGTTTACAATTACAATACGTTCTCCAGATAAAGTATTCAAAAACATTATTTGGCATACTTTTTTGGTTTTGTTATTTTCATATGGCAAAAAATAATAAAAAATGAATTGTCTATTATGCAAAGTAACTTCCGTAGTATAACGTTTCTTTGGTTGGTTTTGGTGTTTTTTATCATATATTCCCACTGTTTATTTTTATCACCGATAGACCAAATTTTTTAAATATATTAAGAAAACTTGGCTTGGCGTTTTATGTGTTGGAGCTGGCGTTCGGTCTAAATTTTACGTGATAAGTGGTAGACCCAAAATCAACTATTTAATCACCTAAAATCAATATCATCGAATATAACAGATATACAATACAAGTTTAATGATGTACAATCGAAAATGATGGATGTGGCAGATCCTACAGAAGAAATAGAAGCGTACAATCCTTAGAAGCGTACAATCAAAAAAGTAGGAAGTGGTAGATCATACAATATCAATTGCATTAGGAACGGTCATAAATATCGGATGAGGTAGGTAGGTAGGATGAGGTAGTGTCGTAGTTTTTGAATGAACTAGCAAGTGTTTGTTATCTATGATAAATATAATTATCAGAATAATAGTATTAATATTTAAATCGAACTAAAACTACATTAAATATCTAGATACCTACTAACGCTTTTCCCGACATTTCACCCGTATTCACAAACATTACTGTGAGGTCTCACAGTGTGCGTTAACGCACAGAGTCGCTAAAACCTATTCATAAACAATACTTGAGTGGCGGACGGCACTATGCGTCGCTTTTAATAAACGCATAGGTAAAGTAGCTTACGAGCTGTTTTAAGCCAATTTATGACGTAAGTTAGGTTTTGTATGTTTGTTTCTCAAGATTTGGTGTTATTTAGTTTATCGTTTTTTATGTATTCTAATGGATTACAGTAGCGAAGAGGAATTTGATAATTATGTCAATGAGAGAAACAGAATAACTACAAGAAAAGTGATACGAGATTTCCAAGATCCATAAGGTTATTACAGTTCAGATGAATTTAAACGCCGCTACAGGTTTTCTAAAAATGTAGTACTTTTCATACTCTTACCGTTGATAAATGAAGATCTCAATAAATAAACTACAAGAGGTCTTCCAGTGCCACCCATTTATCAATTGCTAGTGGCATTAAGATGTTATTCTTCTGGTAGTTTTCAGGTTAGTACCTACCAACTTTACTATACTTCCCTATAAAAATTTGTAGTAAAAATAACTCATTGGCTTTTTATTTTACAGATGATTACGGCGATCTTATAAGTGTCAGTCGACCGACTTATCAAGAATAGTGAAGAAGGTGTCTTACCTATTTGTTTGAAAATACGGAAATTTGAGAAATTTCCGAATAATTTAGAACGGATTAAAGAAGAGTTTTACTCCATATCTCGTTTTCCAGGTATAATAGAAGCTATTGATGGTACCACATTCCAGGTGGAACATATGCTGGTGTTTAGGAATAGAAAAAAATATTTTCTATTAATTCTCAGATTAAGTGTGGGCCTGATTTGCAGATTTATGACATAGTTGCCGATAGACCTGGATCTGTACATGACAACAGAATATATCAAGCTGCAGTTCTGAAGTGTAAAATGGAACAAGGTATTATAGACGGAATACTTTTAGGGGATAGCGGGTATGGTTGTCAAAGATATTTATTGACACCAGTGGCACAACCAGAAAACAGTCCTGATGAGAACTATAATAAGGCACACAACACTGAAACACGGAACACAGTAGAAAGAACTATAGGTGTCTGGAAGAGTACCTATATTTACTTGCTTATCTAAAAAGATGACAACAAAATTAACTACAACATGCCATATAATTGTTGCCACTGCCGTGTTATATAACATTTGTAGGGCTCATGGTGTTATTGAAGATATTGAGAGTGAGATAAGAAATATACCACGACCCGCCACAAATCTACCTCAAGTAAATAGAGAAGGTCTACTTTTTAAAATAATGTTTATATAGACATTTTTGAAATAGGGTGATAATAAAGTAAATAATAAAATGTAAATTAATTTAATATTCAAGTTTTTTTTTATATTTCTGTTTCTAACTGAAGTTTTTCTATTTGTAAATTTTGTAGTTTCTTCTCATATTCTAAAATTTTTTTTCAATTAAAAAAAATCCCTCTGTAACCTCAACTCATGCAATGCTCAGTCCTGTTGGATGTTTAAAGTGATGCGCTTTATTCTAGCTTTTGATTAATTAATGAATTTCTTGCTACCTAAAAAGCAATTTATAACATATTTAAAAATATACCCAATATAATGTGGCCTTGAAAAAATGTTAGGTATATTCTAAATATTACTTACTAGTGGGAGTCGAGAAAGTTTCTTAATTACAATTTTTTTTGGCTGTAGACAAACATTTTCGTCCATGTCATCTGGAAAATTAAACTGAAAAAATAGTTACATAATTAATATATAATTAATACATAACATAAATAAATAATAATCAAAGTAAGATACATATTTTCTACTTACTACTTGAAGCTCTGGGGCAGGGTCTTTTTTAAGGCCTTTTATAAAATCTTTACATCATCTAAAACTGAAAAGATAAAACAAAGTAAGATTTAGTTTTTATCTATAGGTGGGTTATCCTTAGCCTCTTTACATTGATGTTGTAGTCATACTAACTTTCTATTGAATTTGAATCAATCACTCCCGGGACTCTCAAATTAATAAAAGGGCAAATTGCATCAATGATATTATCTGATGTTGAGCCACTTTCTGGGGATCCACCAGTACGCTTTATACTTGTTGATTCCTGGGACAGCTCTTTCTTTCTCTGGGTTTTTATATTCACCCAGCAGATTTTTAATTGCTGACTGTGTCTTTGTGAGACGTATGGCTGCGAATTGTAGGCCACAGTCAAATCCTCCCAAGCTTGCTTCTTTAATTCTATATTTTTAGCGAATGTGCGTTTATCTTCAATGATAGGCCGTTCACGCACTAAAGCCACAATTAATTCTCTCTCTGAGGAAGAAAAAGGTAACTTCTTCGAACTGCAAAATAAACATTTTTAATAACACATTATTTTTTATCTCAATAGATTCATTAAACACAGTGAATACAATATTCCTACAAACCTGAGAGTTGTGCTTGATAAACGTAAATGTGTAGTTATGTCCATAATTATTTATTATAAATCACCACAACATATATTTAAATTAACAAACTGGAAACGTTTTAGGTTATCATAACTTTAAACTTTAACTTTAACATGAAACGCCAGTCTGAAAAATCGTAGTAAACTACACAATACAAACGAACCAATCACAGAGCTCTAACCGACACAGTGCGTTCGCATAGTGAAGGGTCATTTAAGTATTGTTTAGGAATTAAAAGGTTTGATATAAAGATCGCACTGAGAAATGCCTTACTTCACATAATATTTGTACTTTACTTACATAAATATTGTTTGTGAATACGGGTGTAACTATGTAACTAGCAGGTCGGCTCAGGATCGACGCACTCACTCGTCGGTTATGTCCGGTTAAAATTGACTGTGAGTACCTTCATTTTTGTACGTACACAAGCGACACTACCGACATTAATAACGTAATTATCTTCGTAAATATAATAAAAACAACCATTATTTTTTGTGATATTATTCCTTACACCCTTTCATGAGGTTTTATACAAAAAAAAATCGTTAAAATGCAGATCAAACATTAATGATAGGGCGTGGCGGTATGCGGATTCCAAAGTCCAAGATGTATATTATTTATAGCGTCATTTATTTAACCGAGAAATTGGTTGAGGTATTGTACTGTGTGACACCTTATGCTAAGTACGCTTCAAGCGTGCTTACAGCGAGACATCCATCAGGCGTTACGTCGCGCTATGAAAAACCGCCTAACAAGGCCATGCGATAATATTATAGTCAAAAGTTTTCAGAGATACATATATTATATCTCTAACTGTAGCTGAAACATGGATGTTTAATAAAACAAAAGTATTATACCATTTTATAAAGCTCAATAACAGTACAATTTAATGGAAAAAAGAAACAAATATGCATTTTATTTATAAATATACCAGTGACGTACATCGCATAACATATCGATTTTACAAACTTGCAACGAAAGTTTTTACAGTTGTCGAAGTTTTAATATTGTTTTTTTTTTTTGTAGGAAATATAATTTAAATTTACAGGCACAGAGAAAAGCTTGCGACATTGATCTACAATATGACTTAATTGATTAAAATACGACATTAGTCAAAAGTACACAAAAAAGATTATTTTTAGTGTAATGTGGTATTAGGTTGACAGTAGTTGCAGAATGGTTTCTGCAACATACATAACCATGAAATGGTAAATATTCTTTTATCTTATATGACATACATTTTTTGTACTTATTTTATTTTAAAACCACACGATCCTTAATTATAATTTGGTATAAATTAATGCAGTTTAACACCAAAATTAACATATTTCAGTTGTTTTTGTAAATTATTTTTAACCAATGGTTGTATTCATTTGTGTTAGACGTGACTTATGCCTCATATTGATTGAAAATAATAGCACAAATTATATTTATGATTTAACAAACTATATGTGTGATAATTATAATGACGAAATTTGAGAAGAAAATATAGCAACTATCATTGCTAACATACAAAAAATATACTTGTGAGTCAGATCAATCAACATCAGCAGAGAAGAGAGGTATGACTTCTGATAGTTACGACGATAGTACGGAGAAAACGATAAATAAAAATAAGGAATTATGGATGTGGTTTTATCGTGGATTCATATATCCAGAGGTCTAATATCTAATGGTACAATAGATGAAGCATTAATTGTAGAAATTCTACGGGCATTACCAGGCGATAAAAAAATAAATACGCAGAAATTTATTCACTGAGCCAGCATATTTCACAGTATTTTCATCAGAAAAAGCCCTCAGCATTTTTATATATTTGGATTTGACCAAGGCACAGTATGAAATCATGAGATATTATTTAATTGCAAAAAATCGGATGTTATTTCCATCGTACTCCTCCATTTTAGAAGCTAAAAAGATGTGCCAATTCAAGCATCGAAATTAACAACATTAGTGTAAAAATAAAATTGCACGATTTATGAGATCATACAACTGTCAGAATTCTGCAGATAAATGACATTTACATAGGTGGATATCTCACTTCCACTTGTATTCTAAACGAGCGTGTGATGGATCAAGTGGGCAAAGGCTTATACTCCATAAGCAAACATTACTTGAAGAGAGTGTTTTAATTTCAGACGCTAATTTACTTATATATTCACTAGTGCCTCTAAAACTTATTGGAGTTAATACAAATCAGGTACTGTGGGAAAATTCCGTTTCATCATCCGTAAGATTTTTTCGTTCGATTTTAATAGAATTTTCAAGGGAGACCCCTGAAAAAACTACTAGTAAAATTAACGAAATTAATGCACAAAGAGCATCACTTTCCCCTACTTTTACTAACAAAAATGGTGTAAGTATTAAAATTACGCACACATTATTATATTAACAATGGTCGACTGAAAAGTGGCGCAAGTCTTGACAGATGCAGCTTCAGGTGCTGTGTGTACTATTTGTGGTGTTAAGGCCCATAGAGATGAATACGATACAGCACAGCTCTTTGTTACCCTCTTTTGTACATAAAGTTCTGATTCATGTAGAAACAGTAATTCGTCATTATCTTTATTGCCAATTGACCAGCTCTCCGAAGATGCTCAAGAATCACGAAAAAAAGATAATTAACATTTCAGACAGAAAACAATGCCAGAAAATGCTCTAGAATTGCTACTAATGAAGACGTTCTTCATATGCTCTTATACTCGTATACTTCAGATCCTTTCATAACGAATCTAATGCTCGTTTTCACTACACCTAGGCGTCGCTCAAATCTGTGGCCTATATATTCAGGAAAGCCCAAGGTAAAAATGCATTTCACCATTAATTAGGAACCACCTAACGAAATTAAGCAATGTCTAAAGTTATACGAGGGTCAAACTGAAAGTTCTTAGAAAATCAAAAACTGATTACATTAGCCAGTTATTAGTTTTATTATATCTTTTCAAAATATTGTCCATTCACGTCAATACACCGCTGCATGCGATGGAACCACTGGGAAAAGCACTTTGCCCACTCGTCCTTAGGGGTCTCTTCAATGGCATCGCGATACGCAGCCACCGCTTCTTTAGCATTCATAAACCGCTTTCCTTTAAGTTTTTCTTTAATTTTTGGAAATAAATAAAAATCACAAGGCGCGAGGTCGGGGCTATACGGCGGGTGACCCAGTAATTCAACGTTTGATAGTCGATCATCGTCGCCAAATAGTCGATCGTTCGCTTGGCGGTGTGCGACGAGGCGTTGTCGTGGTGAAGGAGGATCCTACTGCGAGGTCGTTTCTCTCGAACTTTTTCCAAGACAAGTGGCAAACAATTGGTAGTGTACCATTCTGCAGAAACTGTTTTTTGATCCTCTAACACAATTGTTGCAAAATGACCTATCCTTCCAAAGAACGAGGCCACCATTTTTTTTCCCGCACTTCGATCTCTCTTCACTTTAGTTGGCAACTCCTCGAAAGGAAACACCCACTGAGCAGATTGTCTTTTGGTTTTAGGATCATAACAGTAAATCCAGCTTTCGTCACCTGTTAGTATGTCGAACACAGCATTTGAGTCACCTCCGTTAAATCTTTCAATCATTTTACGACACCAATCCACACGATGGAGTTTTTGAGCCTCAGTCAAATTATGAGGTATCCACCGGGCGCAAAGCTTCCTGACCGCTAAATGTTCGTGGAGGATTTTGTGCACTTGACTCATACCGATGCCTAAGCTTGTCCGAATCTGTTGATAGGTCACTCTTTTGTCAGTCTCTATCATACGCCGCACAACACAGATGTTATCTTCAGTCGTCGCCGTAGAAGGCCGTCCCTCACGTAAATCATCAGTGAGATTAGTGCGACCACGTTTAAACTCATTAAACCAGTTGTAAACAGTCGCACGAGATGGGGCTTCATCGTGAAAGGCCAATCGTAGTCTATCATAACTTTCTTGTTGACTTAAATGACATCGAAAGTCATAAAAAATTATTGCACGAAAATTTTCTCGTGTTAAATTCATGATGACGTGACACAGACAATTTTCAATTTGCCGCCAAATCGTAAAACAAATAACAAATGAATGAAATATATACTCAGTAATATTGGCAAAGAGTTATATTTTCAAATTTTAGAATTATTTTTTTATTATATTGTTTATAAGTGGCCAGTTCTAAGAACTTTCAGTTTGACCCTCGTAATATTCGTTATGCGGTGCCTTGCGCTAGGCATTTGCGTATTATGTCAAGGGATAAAAGAAAAAAATAATATTTTGAATTAAACTAATGTGCTAAGGCGATTCGTAATATTAGGTATTACCTAGGTTGCCTTATTCTAGGTTAGTGAAAATGGGTGTTAGAATACCTTCCAAGAAAAAATCTGTAGACCTATTAGACGAAGTTTTGACACTGCTTGCCATTAAAATACTTTGAACATCTAGTTTACTTATTTTAGTTTAATATTAGTCTGGTGAAGAATGTTATAAAGCATTAAGCTCACAGTAAATTTTAATATGCAAATATTAAGATCGCCCTACTTATTTATTACTTAAATATTTTTTACAGTTGCATTGTTCTAAATCCTCATGTAAACTTACACTAAGGTGTCACATCTAACATGATGTCTACGAATAACGCCAATACGTTAATAAAATGGATATGTTGAGGATGGAGGAATGATATGTATAAACAAATCTATTTTATTAATTTAGTTGTAAGTTTTGATAATTATCACAATGTAAGTGTTTAATATTTTTACTATTATTTAAAAATATTTATACTCGAAAAAGTTATATTATTAAAAAGCACACGTGCTCAATATTACAATATAATAACATGTCATGACCTTTCATTGAAATATCTTTTGAAATAAAGAAGATACAGAATAATGACATGAAACCGGCCTGATTTTCCCATAATGCGTCGTGTCGTCGCATCGTTACTGGGGGCCAATTCTACTAAATAAATTTTGTTTAAATCGAATCGAACGAAACTACAGTTTTTAATGATTTTCCTATTCTACAAAGTGACATACAATACAATTCCAGTTCTA